TGTCTTACTAAGTTGATCCTTTTGCTTTGCCTGAGAAACAGTTTCATGTCACCTGTTGCAGGAGAAGAACAATTGATCTTGCAGATGTAATTACAGAAGATGAACTTTTGGACCAACTTCTAAGTCACACAGCAAAAGTATAGGGGGATTTATTAGGAAATGACTTTTTCTTTTTATCCCATTTCAAAGGATAAAAGTCCTTCCTGGATCTGCAATGAATTTATCCAGGGTGACTCCTCTCCAGTTTTCTCATCAGGAAGCTTCTCTAGCCTGATGCTGAGATGCATTTTTTTTTTTTACCACGCAATTGTTGCTTTGTATTAAATATGTAGTTTTATTATCAGAGAAATGCGTGAAGCGGAGGAAATGGCAGATCTGCTAATGTTACCACTCAGATTTGGGTTCTAGCAGACTGTGATCTAGAGGGTAGACATTAAATATATGATTTAGTGGGAAGAGTGGACAGGTGTGTGCGTGTTTGTTTGTGTGTGTGTGTGTGTGTGTGTGTGTGTGTGTTTGGATGTGTGAGTGATGGAGACAGATGCATACAGAGTAGGACATGAGACCAAAGGTTTGAATGAAAAAAGAGCAGAGGTCACCATCCTTAAATAAAAATTAGGATATTTTCATGGCACATTTACCCAGGTTTTCCATATATATATTTCTGTGCAGTAAATAGTTGTAGTTATTTTGCATTTTGATTCAGAAATAACCTTTACAACCAGGCCAGCATGGCCCAGTGGTTGAAGGTTGACCTGTGAATCAGATCACCAGTTTGATTTCTGGTCAGAGCACATGCTGGGGTCGTGGGCTAGATCACCAGTGTGGGGCATTCAGGAGGTAGCTGATCAATAATTCTCTCCCATCATCGATGTTTCTCTCTTTCTTTCTCCCTTCCTCTCTAAGATCAATAAAAATATATTTAAAAACATAAAGAAATAACTAACATTTTTTCAAAGTTCTCAGTGAAAATAATTTGAAAGAATTACACAAGGATTCATTTGAAGGCCTGCTATTCTTCAAGTATTTGTAAGTTAATTATAAATTATATTTATTTATGAGTTTTTAGTTATATGTAAAATAAAAAAGGGGTTCAAATTAGGTAATCTCTACAATTTCTGCCAGGAATAAAATTCTACCATTCTGTAAGTTGTGTAGGGCTCCAGCCCATCTCTAGCATTTAATATCTCCCATGCATTTTCAATTTTATAATCATATAGACAAGATATAGACAGGAAAAGCTTTTTAATTATAGAGGAAAAGTGGTAATGAGGTCTGAATTATTATACACATTCATATGAGCCTTGTTATATAAGTGTTCATATACCATCTGCTTATATTTATATGTATATTTATATGTATATGTATATTTATATATCTTTATATTTATATTTAGGGCCCATGGATGAGATTGGGCCTATGGTGTGTGTTTTTACAACCCATAATGGTTTTGACACTTTTGAAGGGCTGTAAAAGAAGAGAGGAATTCAGCTTAACCTCAAATTGTCTTCTATAGGACAATAAATATAGAACACTTGCATTAATTTAAATGCCATTAACTCAGAATTTTTTTTAAAATATATTTTATTGAATTTTTACAGAGAAGAAGGAAGAGGGACAGAGAGTTAGAAACATCGATGAGAGAGAAACATCGATCAGCCGCCTCCTGCACACCCCCTACTGGGGATGTACCCGCAACCAAAGTACATGCCCTTGACCGGAATCGAACCTGGGACCCTTGAGTCCGCAGGCCGACGCTCTATCCACTGAGCCAAACCGGTTCGGCTAACTCAGAATTTTTTAATAATATGCCAGTAATCTAAATTAGATGAACATTTATACATTAAATGTTTAATTAGTCAGATGAGTTATGTAAACAGTATTATTAAGAACATATTAAGTTATCTAGAGAGCAGACTGGTGTTAAGAATTTCAATGTAGAGATTGTTATACTAATATTAAAAATAAATGTTTAAAATGATGGTTAAGCCCTAGCTGGTTTGGCTCAGTGGATAGAGAATGAAGGCTCCCAGTTCTGATTTCTCTCAAGGGCATCTGCCTGGGTTACAGGTTTGATCCCCAGTAGGGGGCGTGCAGGAGGCAGCCAATCAATGATTCTCTCTCATCATTGGTGTTTCTATCTCTCTCTCCCTCTCCCTTCCTCTCTGAAGTCAATAAAAAAAAAATTAAAAAATAAAAACTAAAATGCTGGTTAAGCCCAGCCAATATGGGTCAGTGGTTGAGCAGTGACCCATGAACCAGGGGGTCATGATTTGCTTCCCAGTCAGTGCACCTGCCCGGGTTTCAGGCTCAATCCTGGGGGCGATTCTCTCTCATTATGTTTCTATCTCCCTCTCCCTCTCCCTTTCTCTCTCTGAAATCACGAAAAACATAATTTAAAAACAATGGTTAAGTGGTATAGTTAGAAATGTCTACATAAGTAAATGTATCAAAAATGCCCCTAACGATACTAATTACAAAATAAAAATCTCTTCATCCTCCTTGGCAAAGATGAAATGCTTGCCTAATAATTCTATTTATTGAGATATAAGGAGATATTCTTTTCAATAAAAACTCAGTTATGATCCTTTGTCCATGGCACCTAGAGCCTTGTATGTCATTAATCCTTATTAAGCTAATCAATGGTGCTCTTTAGCAAATGGATTCTTTGTGGCTTAAGGGAAGTGATTATAAGAAGCCTCAACATGATACTAAAAATAGCCCTTTGAATTATCAAACCTTTCAAGGGACAACCACTTTTGTATTGATCTTCTTGGGTACCTCTGCCATCTGGGTTCTAAGCCTGACAAACAGTTTGGAGGAAGACAAATGAGATAACTAACTGCTCAATAGACTAGGTCATTCATTACTTCTACTGTGAAATACACTGTAAGATAATTATTTCATGCTAGCATAAGTATTCCCATTCATTAAAAAATGCCAATCAATAAATAAGTTAGCCCTAGCTGGTTTGGCTCAGTGGACAGAGTGTCGGCCTGCAGACTGAAGGGTCACAGGTTCAATTCAGGTCAAGGCATGTACCTTGGTTGTGGGCACATCCCCAGTGAGGGGTGTGCAGGAGACAGCTGATCGATATTTCTCTCTCATGGATGTGCCTAACTCTCTATCCCAATCCCTTCCTCTTTGTAAAAAATCAATTTTAAAAAAGCCAACCAATAAACAAGTTAGCCTTAGCTGTTTTGGCTCAGTGGATAGAGGGATGGCCTGAGGACTGAGGTTCCCAGGTTCAATTCTGGCCAAGGGCACATGCCCAGGTTGTGGGCTTGATCCCCAGTACCTGGCATGCAGGAGTCAGCCAACCAATGATTCTCTCTCATCACTGATCTCTCTCTCTCTCTCCTTCTCCCTTCCTCTCTGAAATCAATAAAAATATACTATAAAAAAATAAACTAGTTAAAAGAGAATATGCTAGGCGCTGTAACTAGTACTGTAGACACAAAGATGGGTAAGACAAGGTTCCTACCCTTCTAGTAACTCATGATCTCACAGGAAAAATAAACATAAGCTCAGGGCATAGTGCATAAGTCCTTATGTATAGTACGCTGAGTTCTGTGGCAAAATTCCTCTCTGCAGCAGGAATATTTTCTCTATATGATTATCTATCTCTGTATCGACTAAGTCACACAGAACTCAGATTTTTGGCTGAGTATGCCTGGGTGTTTTTTGTTTTTCTAGAGATTGATCCTCATATCCTCTTGGTTTTTCAAGCCTTTTGAGATGAATACCTATAAAACAGGAAGCTTGGGCAAAATCTATTTACTTCAAACCATTAATCTATGCAGCCTTTATGATAGACGCATAGAAAAGCTTTCTGGTTGTTTAGAATTCAGTGCTTTCTTCAGAGTTTTATGAGAGAGTTGACCAAGATTTACTAATTGTAAATATAAATGTATAGGCTTTAAAGGTATGGATGTAAAACTAATATTAACTTCAACTTGAAATGTTTTCCTTAATGTCCTTTAAGTTTAAAGACGACATCTTTTAGGAAGTATATCTATTAAGAAAAAATATTCCAAATGGAAATAAGGCAACAGGATGACTGCATGCCTTTCAATTACATTGGGAAATTGTCTAAAAGGCCCACCACAGGATTCCTTTCATCTGTGAGGGGTGAAGAGAATGAACTTTTGATTGATGCTCTATTTACTATTATTTACTATTGATCAGACCACTTACATGTTAACTTGTAAATTTTTGTCCAGCACTGATGAAAATGTGTGGGGCTTTTTTTTTTTTTGGTAGAAAAGATAATTGCAAAAGTTACAGTTATATTGCAATATTAAATATTACGTTATTTTTCTCTAAGTTAACCAAATTTCAGAATGCCATCCCCAGCTAACTGTATAAATCTCTGTTCCTCAGATGATAATAGATTCAGTATGGTTCCCTCATTAATAGGTTAAGTACATCTTTGACATATATGCGATCTGTCAAATTTGAATGAGACATGTTTTTAAAATTTTTATTTATTTTTTAAATTCTTACTCAATATTTTTTCCCATTGACAGTGGAAAGGAGGTGGGGAGGGAAGAGAGATGAGAGAGAGAGAGAGAGAGAGAGAGAGAGAGAGAGAGAGAGAGAGAGAGAGAGAAAGAAAGAAGAAGAAGAAGAAGAAGAGAGAGAAGGGGGAGGGGGAGGGGGAGGGGGAGGAGGAGGAAGAAGAAGAAGAAGAAGAAGGGGAGAGGAGAGGAGAGGAGAGGAGAGGAGAGGAGAGGAGAGGAGAGGAGGAGAAGAGAGAGAGAGAGAAACATCAATATGAGAGAGATGCATCGATTCATTGCCTCCCACATGTGCCCCATCAGGGTCAGGATCAAACCTGCAAAACAGGTACTGCTGTTGACTGGAAGTTAAAACTAAGACCCTTTGGTGTGAGGGCCTACATTCTAACCATTGAGCCATGCTGGCCTGGGCTGAATAAGTCATGTTTTTAGCTTCTTAAAAAATGATACTCTGATGTCTCATTTTGAAAAACACAAATCCAAAGTTCAGCAATTCCTGCATTTCTTTTTCCTCTCAAAGATCAAGTGAAGTTAAATTGGATGCGTTTTGTTAATGCACAGTTTTTATAACTAGAACGGAACAGTAATTGCTGCTTTTGACAAAATAATTCCGGCCAAGAAGCTTCCAGGAGGTGAAGTAAGAGAGAATGGAGATGGGTGGCTGGGACCTAGTATCCCTGCTTTTCAGTCAACAATTTGCTCAGTACCTCGAGTTGAGTCCTGTTCAGGTTCGTTACACAATCCTGAACTTCCGCATTATCAGGGTTGGCACAGACACGCTGCCCCCTTTTGGTGGTGAAGCTGGGGAACAAGGAGGAGAAAGATTATACATTGAGGAGGGTTCTGCAAATAGAGATGGGGAGCCCCATCTTCCCGGCCCTTCAGATTCTCCACTCAGCCCAGCTTGTTCCTTTCTCTGCTGCAGGCACTCAGGGTGTCTCCTCTCTGAGACGCTCCCTCAGCCCGTGAGACTTCCTTAGTGACTCATGGGAGTTTCCTGGTGCAGACCTGCTCCTGCTCTCTCCTTCCTTTCCTAGCTTCCATCTTCAATGGGAACATCTCATATCTGATGCTCTGCAGGATCAGGATAAGAATGAGGACACAGCCTCCCTTGACCTTGCAGGATCCAGAGGATGTGACTTTTATGGGCATCCATCCATCATCAGGTCCCTACTCCCAAGATATGGCTGGTATGCTTGGTACTTACATGACAGCAGGCTTGGAGCACCCACTGGTCGTTAAAAAGTAACTTTCCATGAATCTGCATCGGATTTTTCGTGGTGTATAGGACGGGCAGCAGTCAGCAGGACGGTGAATGCCTATAGTAAGAGAAAAGACAGTCTTTAGAAAAGACTATTTCCATTCCTCCTTCCCTCAAAGTACTGGGGAGGGTGAGAAGACTCTGGGCTCAAAGGGCGTGTTTTCCTCCTCTACAGCATTTGCTGGCATCTCCTTGCTTCACACTTCCCCTGGTTGAGGCACCCAGGCCAAGGACACAAGAGGGCCAGGACCATTTCTTCCAGAAGTGGAAGGGTTTGATGCGTGCAGGGGGCATCAGAGAGCACCCTCTCCCCCAGGTGAGCCTTCTCCAGGACAGGCAGGAGGAAGAGGTCATCAATGGAGGAGGGACCCATGGCCCAATCTGATCTTCCCTGTAGATGTTCACCATCCTCAGCACCCTTACTCTTTCCCCATGTCCTCTAAAAAGGTGAATGAAGCCACTGAGCAGATCTGTACCCACCAGCCGCATTTAAATATATGCCACAACTAAACACTTACCTTCTTTAAAAAAAACACATAAGTGTTTTCACTGATTTTTAGAAGGAGAGGAGGGAAGAGGGATAGAGTGTTAGAAACTTCGATGAGAGAGAGGCTGCACGGCCCCTACTGGGGACTGAGGCCGCAACCTGGGCATGTGTCCTGACCCAGAATTGAATCAGTGACCTGTTGGTTCCTGGGTCAACACTCAACTGCTGAATTACCCTGGCCAGACTCATTAACCAGGAGAGGGCCCGCTGGGATTCAACTGATGCATCACCATGCTTGGTTCTATTTGCGAGAAACAGACAAGAAGGAAAGAGAAGTCACTGGGAGGTAGCAGTGTCTCAGTATCTCTGCCTACCCCATTTCTCAGCCTAACCCCCTCCCCCAGACTGGGAATCCAACCTGTGACCCTTCTGTCCGAGGGCCAATGCTCTAACCACTGAGAAACCAGCCAGGGCTATATTACCTTTGTAAAGCCTGAAAGATTCTGCATTCCAACATACATCTAGACCAGTGGTTCCCAACCTTTGTTTGGGCATGCCCCACCTAAGCATCTCTAAAATCCTGATGCCAGGATTGTTAAGATGATTCAATGTATTACCATCTATAAGGCAATTAGAGCAGTGCCTGCTTGTACATAGACAGTGCTAGATATTAGTTTTTAAAAATAGATAGAATGATTAGGTGGACTTTGGTGAGTCACTTGTCCAGATTGTCCCATTTCTTCTTCAAAATGATAGTTTTACACTACGTGGTATATAATAGTTCTAACGTAGGATTCTATGCTTCTTTCTCCAGATTTATAATTTTATAACCAAAACAGAACAGTAATTATTGCTTTTGAAAAAATAATTCAGGCCAAGAAGCTCCCAGGAGAATGGATATGGATATGGATGGCTAAGAGAAAGGATCAAATAATTCTGGCCATGAAAAGGGACAAATCTTCTGTATGTGGTTTTTCCCATGCACCAAAAGCTGCAGAAAAAGGTCTATACCTACTGCTACTGCTTTTAAACAAGTGCCAGATTCACCTCTATGTTGCAGGAGAGTGTCCCTCTGTGTGTCCTCCCTAACTGCAAGTTACCGTTCAATTGGCCCCCAGTGAAAAGGCTCATTGAACTCACCATCATCCCAGGATTCCTGAGCCAGGGATCCATGGGCAGGGGATCCAAGGGTAGCAGCAAGGATGAGGAAGGAGAGAGCAGCTGCAGAGACCTTCATCTCCCCAGTGTGCAGACAGCGCTGGCCTGAGGATCCTGGGCTCTTTGCTCCCTGACTCCCTGGACCCAGCTCTGCCCTTGTATTTATAAGAGGAGGATCAGGAAGTCACAGGGCATAAGAGTGCTATTCTTTGGCTATATCAACAACAGATATTTCTAAAAACGGCAACAAGCCTGGGATTTCAATAGGAAGTTGAGGGAACAAGGATTTGGGGCTTTCCCTACTGCCCAATGAACATAGGCAAAAGTGTCAAAATTGGTGACAAGGACCTTAGCCAAGACAGGAATCACATCCTATATGGATCATGAAAGTCCTATAGGAAGAGTGTTAACAATTTACTGAGCTCTGTGGTTAAAACAGCCTCTCCCCTTAATTTCCCCTTCCTTTTGGTAAAGGAACTACTTTCGTCTTACTTTCTCTTTGTAAAGGTCATGTATGTATATACGAGAGTGCAATCTTTACTTTTTCCCAACTCCTTTTTGCAGAATGAATACCTAGTTGACTTTTTGTTTACAGTCAGCAAGAGTGACCTTATTTTATTAAAGATCCTTCCTTAGGAGATTTAATTAATCTTCTAAATCAGAGTTTTTCCCTAAGGAATTAACTACTTTCAAGTGCACAAAGAGCCTATTATCAGGGGTAATCACTTGAAGGAATGCTTTAATAAAGTGGTTCTCAACCTTCCTAATGCCACGACCCTTTAATATAGTTCCTCATGTTGTGGTGACCCCAACCATAAAATTATTTTCGTTGCTACTTCATAACTGTAATTTTACTATTGTTATGAATCATAATGTAAATATCTGATATGCAGGATGTATTTAGCGACTCCTGTGAAAGGGTCATTCGACCCCTAAAGAGGTCACGGCCCACAGGTTGAGAACCACTGCTCTAATGTGTAAACCTGGTTGTGTGACTCCTCACATAGGATCTCTACCCTGGACTCTTCTCTTTGTTTCATATCCCACATCCAATCCATTAACAAATATGTTGGCTTTTTTAAAAAAAATATGTCCAGCATCTTATTCCTTACCACCTCTACTTTCTCCACCTGGTCCAAGTCATCCTAGTCTCTCATTGAGATTCTGTCCTTGCCCCTCTTTAGCTCATTCTGCACATTGCAGCCATAGTGAGTTTGTTAAAAAGGAAGTTAGATCAATTCAATCCTGTTGGAAACCCTCCAATGGCTTTAAATATATATTGATTTCAGAGAGGAAGGGAAAGGGAGAGAGAGATAGAAACATCAATGATGAGAGAGAATAATTGGCTGCCTCCTGCAAGGGCCCCCCACCCCCTGCCTCCAGGATTGAGCCTGAAACCCAGGTATATGCCCTGACAGGGAATCTAACCATGATCTCCTGGTTCATAGGTCAACACTCAGCCACACTGGGCCTGTACTCTGCTGAATTTATAATAGAGAAAAGTTATAACAACTTGAATGGACCAAGCTAAGTAACAAGGATGAATTGTAAATTCTTAGAAATTCATGCACTGGGGGAGGGGAGCCCTCAGTCTGGCCTGCACCCTCGCGCAGTCCAGGACCCCTTGGTGGACATCCCTCTCACAGTCTTGGACCCCTTGCTCTTTACCGCCCACCTGCTTGCTGCTCCTTAATGCTCGGCTCGCTGCTCCTTAGCACTGCCGTGGAGGTGGGAGAGGCTCCCCCCACCGATGCTACGCTTGCCAGCTGTGAGCCCAGCTTCTGGCTGAGCGGTACTTCCCCTGTGGAAGTGCACTGACCACCAGGGGGGCAGCTCCTGCATTGAGCGTCTGCCTCCTGGTGGTCAGTACGCATCATAACGACTGGTTATTCTGGCTGTTTTGCCTTAACGGTTGCTTGGGCTTTTATTATATAGACTAGAGGCCCAGTGCATGAACTCGTGCACTGGTGGGGTTTGGCCCACCCAGCCCCAATCAGGTTGGACTGGGGCCAGGTTTGTCAGGAGGAAGAGATGGCGGGAGATTGGCCTGCCAGCCCACCCTGAATGGGGCCCAATCAGAGCCAGGCCAGCTGAAGGGAGGGGCTGTGGGCAATTGGCTGGTGGGCCCTGGCCCCGATTGAGATGGGGGGCTGGTTGGGGGTAGGGCCAGGAAGGGGAGGGGCTGTGGGGGCCAATTGGGGTGGGGCAGGCTGATCAGTGAGGGGTGAGGCTGGCTGGGGGGGAAGGGTCATGGTGGGGGGTTGCCCTACCACCCACCCTCGATCGGGGTGGGAGTGACAAATCAGGGCAGGGCCAGCTGGCAGGAAGGGCCCCTGTAGGTTGGCCAGTTGGCCCCACCCCCAATTGGGTCAGTTTGCTGGCTGCAGTGGGCGTCATACTGACCGGTTGTTAAAGTCTTATGGTCGTTATGGCATCCCAGTCTCTGGCTTTTTATATGTATAGACTAGAGACCCAGTGCACAAATATTTGTGCACTGGAGTTGGGGGAGGTCCTGAGCCCAGCCTGCACTCTCTTGCAGTCTGGGATCACTTGGGGGATGTCTGTCTGCCAGCTTGGGGGATTGGGCCTAAGGTGGCAGTCAGACATCCCTCTCACAGTCCAGGGCTCTCTCAGTCCAGTACCCCTTGCTCCTTACCACCCGCCTGCAGCAGAGGTGGGAGAGGCTCCCGCCACTGCTGCTGAGCTCACCAGCTGTGAGCCTGGCTTTTGGCTGAGTGGCGCTCCCACTGTGGGAAATCACTGACCACCAAGGGGAAGCTCCTGCATTGAGCGTCTGCCTCCTGGTGGTCAGTGTGTGTTATAGCAACCGATCATCCCGCAGTTTGGTCGATTTGCATATTAGGATTTTATTATCTAAGATGGTATAACATTTTGGTGTATCCATAAAATAAAATATCATGCATGCTAACTTTTAATAACTTGAGTTTGAATATAAAGTAATGATAATAAGATATACTAGGTCAAGAAAGACTATTAAATAACAATAGCAAAAGACAAAACTACTTTTATGTCCAGAATGCTGGGCAATTTTTGTTTTCTTACCATTTCCTAAAAATTTTGTTCCATATCCATGTATATTTTCTGTTGAAAACAAAGCAAGATCATATAAATTTTTATAAAAATCAGATATCACATTTTGAGGAAGACTTTCTTAATACTTATCCACCACTTCCCAAAGCACGTTTCCCCTGCCTGACATAGTGCCTGTCATATCGCAGGTACGCAATAATGGTTTACTGATTTATTTTCCTCTCTTGCTGGATGTTCCAGCCTGGAGCAAGCTAGAAACAGGTATAAACAGAGCTAGAAACACTTTCTGAAGTAGGCAAAATGCTTCATAAAGAATCCTGAAGGTTTGCTTGAACCCGTCAAATACTAGTGACACTTTAAACTTCTGTCAAGAATTTAACTTGCCCTGAAGTCATTGCCCCCCATCCTTGACTGCCAAAGAACAGGCTGTGATGGGTTGAAGGCCTTTTCCACTTTAAGAGGTGTGGGGCTGGCTGGCTGAGGGGTGGAGTGTGGCCGCTTTGAGGGGTGGAGTGTGGCCGCTATGATGAACTACTTCAACCAGTTCACTGACCTCCAGACTCCATCCTGAACCCTTTGGATAATTGTGTACTTGTTTCTTCAATCTACAGTCCCACTTTCCCCAGTGACTTGGATACTATATGGGTAAAACCCAAAGGATTTACCTCTTTTTGGCTTATTATCTTGACAAAATGATCATGTGTTCCACTTCACCTTGGAATTCCAGTCTCAGGAGTTGCTTGCAATGAATTCTCTAGATTTAGGCATTTCACCTTCTTCTGGCTAGTGCTCTCGGCCCCAACACCTAATGTTTTCCCCAATACTCATGCATCTCAGCACTGTCTTTCTAGGAGAACACAGAATGTTAAGATTGGCCACCTCTGTTTCCTGCTCCTCAGCATCTTTATAGTCTGTTTGAGAGTCTGGTACCTTCAGAGTTTCCCTATATGTTCCATCTCAGAAGGTCATAGCTTTTAAGGAAGTTTGGTCTTCTTTGGACCAGAAGTTGGAAGATCTTAGGTCTTAACACACATCCTGTGTGACTTTGATCAAGTCTGTTAAATTCTCTAGGTTTTGCTTTCTATCCTATACAAAACAGATTGGGATCAGATACAACCGTGGATATGGATATGCTTGGGGGGGATAAAAAGTATGAGGCAGGGCCTTTGCCAGGCCATATTACTGCTGGAGTTGCCAGTCCTGCCTGCAGCTCCCAGAGGCTGGGAGGACAAAATGACAATAGATGTGAAAGTGCCTAGAATGGAGTTATGAGCACAGTGCCAGTCAAGGCATATAAGGGGAAGGCTCCATATTACCATGAGTCAGGGAAAGTGAAAGGTTTCCCTGCAGCCAGAAGGTGGGTGACCCACAGAATGCATTTGGAGCCTCCTAGAACCAGGGTTGACTCCTTCTGTCATGTCTCACATTCCTTAACTGGAAAGAGTTAAGTCCTAGAATAGTATCCCTTGCAATAAATCCACTGGGTTTGGGGGTTGAGGGCAGGGAAGGAGGGGAATTATCACCTCATTAGGGCTTGGGAATCCCATTTTGAGTAGAGTGTGAGAATGCCCAGTTCATCCTTACTTCACTTAGCTAAATGGAGTTCACATCCTGAGTCTATGTTACAGATCATTACCCGTCCCCCCCCCTCATTAAATCTGATAGTTTGAACTGCCTCTGCACACTTATTAAACACCTACTGTGTACACAGAGATAAGCATTACTATGTTTTCTGCATCAAGAAGCTCTCTCTCCAGTGGCGGAGGCGATCAAGTAGATATGTTACAGGTGACATGATTGGAGGTAGCTCAGGAGCTGTAGGAGCACAGGGGGAGGTGCAGGATACAGTTAGAGGAGAGGTCAGGGAAGCTTCTCTAGAGAAGATGAGCACATTTTGTTGTGTGTTCAAGAGGCAATTGTTATCATTCTCTATCCCCTATTGCTTAGAAATGGCTTCAGTGTATAAATCGTGGAGGCCATTAATTTAGCTAAACATATTGGCACAAGTCCTTTGTACTCTTCTTTTTATCCTTACCTGAGAATATGTTTATTTATTTGAAGGAGGGA